TGGATGTAGTGCCCTGGGCTTCCCGGCCTCTGCTGCCTTTGGGGTGTCAGCCCTCCCGGTACAGGGGTGGCCACAGCCTGGGTGGCCCAACCTGGGCTAGTGTGGCTGGCACTAGCCCGGTGACAAATACCGGGTAAGATCCGGCAGCACAGACCCAGCTGGGGCCTTGCTGCAACGCAAGGAAGCGCTGCCACCGAAATGGCACCCACGGCTCGGCCCAGCGGGAACCACTGGCACGGGGGCGAGGGGCTGATCCTCGTGCTGATTCGTCCCTCCGCGCGTCTTCTGGGGCAGCCAGCAAGCGGGACGCCTAGGGAGCGCCAGCCAGCGCTCAGGGCAGATCCCAAAGGCTGTTGCAACCCGGCATGGCTCCGTGCTGTGCTGCCACCCTGTGGTCCCCTTGCACGGGAAGGAAATAACGTGCATCATCCCAGCCCTTATCCAGCACTGCAGAGACCCCCCAGGAACTGCAGCCCAAGGCCTGCTCGGGCGTGAAGTCAGAGTGGCCAGAGAGACGGCAGCCGCCCAAGCCGAGCTAGGACATGGCCAGGTCTTCAGAGGTGGATTATGGTTTTGTGGGGCCTGGGGCCAGGGCAACTGCAGGGGAGGCACCTATTTTTCCAGGGACCCCATTTGGCCAGGACCCTGGATACAGGCCCTGTTGGCCCCGTGGATAATCCGTGGGGATGCTCAGGTTCCACTGGGCTGCCGGCGTGTCCATGTGACTGGGCCGTGGGAAGCGTGTGGTGCCCTGCGTGCCACGTGACTCGCATGGCTTGGGACAGGCTGCCCTCCACTCGCATCCCTTCCCTTTGTGCTGCCGCTCGTGTCCAGGGCGGGGCGCGAGACACGCACGAAAGAAGCCGCTTGCAGGGAGGGAAACAGCTCAGATGGGGGAGGGGATTTGCCCAGGAGCCCACAGCGGGTTGCCCAATCTCCGCCCAAAGCGGCGTAGAACCCAGGGCTCCTGGCATCTTTTTCTGAGCGTTGCCCCTAAGACCGAGCAGCCGAGATTAAAGGGGGACGGTCTGGCCAATGGCAACAGCTCTCCAAAAATCCTCCCACAGCCAATTCTTTTAGACTCCTCTTCAGTGCTCATGCTCCCCGGGGTGGGAAAAGCCCTCAGAGCTCCCTGGGGTCAGGGGAGCAGTCAAGGGTCTGACCCCCATTCCCAGGGGCAGCCTTGGGTCCTTCTACCCATGCAGCCCCCTTGTCCGATCCTCAGGGCCCACAGTGCCCAGGGATCGCTGGCCCCTCTTGGATGGGCCTGGCCAGTCGCACAGGAGAGCAGAACAAGAACATCAGAGCGGCCACACGGGGTCAGACCAAAGGTCCATCCAGCCCAGTGTCCTGTTTTCTGACCGTGGCCAACACCAGCTGCCTCCGCCGGAGGGAACAGAACCGGGAATCATCACATGATCCCTCCAGTCGCCCATTCCCAGCCCTGACAAACAGAGGCCAGGGACCCAGCCTGGCTAATGGCCATGGGTGGACCTGTCCTCCAGGAATTCATCTGTTCAAGTCCTGGGCTTCACAACCTCCTCTGGCCAGGCTGATTGTCTGTTTCTGTGTCTCCCGGAGGAGCCGGCTATGAACACAAAGCCACATGACAGCTCAGTCTGCAGCTCTGTCCCACTGGCTGCCCCCAGGCTGCGGGGGCTGGGACTGAGAAGGTGCCTGGCCGTGGCTAGCCATGTTAAATTTAGAGTAATTGGCTAACCGAATTGTCGATGCAATTTGCATTGACTATTAAACTAGGCAATGCGGGCGCCTCTGCCTTTGAAGTGTAGCAATGGCCCCAGAGCTGTTGCTACATTTTTTGCGGGGAGCTCAGGGCCAGCAGGGGATTCAAGAGACCCCGCCAGCCCTGCGCTCTGTGGCGTTTCAAAGCGGCAGCGCCCCGTGGAGCCCGGGGTCAGCTGGGGACTCTGAGTCCCCAGCGCCGCATGGAGCCTGGCGTCAGGCTCCCCACGGCATTTCAAAGTGGTAGCACCACGTGGAACCCGGGCTCTGGCCCCAGGCTCCACGCAGCGCTGCCACTTTGAAGCACTCCCTCCTCTTCCCCCCCTTGCTGCCTCTTTCTGATAGAGGCAGCAGGATGGGGAGCGACTAGCTGACTAGTGTGTCGACTAGCCAACAAGCTCATCGCACAGGCGACCGGTCATGCTCATCCCTAGCTGTGGCTGCCAGAACGAGTGGGAAAGCTAAGGCCTGGTTTCACTGTGCTACTCCCACAACTTGCCACAGAGGCCCAGCCCAGCATGGAACACATGGAAGCAAAACAGTCAAACGGAGCTCCTGGCGCTCAGCCCAGCCCACCTGGTCGGCTTCACAGTCTGGCTAAGAACCTACCACGGCTGCGTGTTCACTAGAAACACTTTCCCAAAGACAGTGCAGCGCCGGGAGGAGTTTGCCCATTGACGCAGGAAATCTACCTCCTTGAGAGGCGGCAGCTGGCTCTGTTATACGGGCGAGGGGGGAAGCTAGGTTGGGTTAACAACATTGCTCAGGGGCTGGATTTTTCACACCCCAGTGACTTCGCTGGGTCAACCTAACTTCGCACTGTACACGGGCTTGAGGCTAGTGAGGAGACGAAAGCCTGGTCCACACTGGAAAATGTAGGTGGCTTAAGTACGTCATCAACCCCCGATGTCAGGCTTCCCCAAGCCCAGGAGATTGGTTTAAAGCCAGAGGTTCTGTAAAAGGAATCAATTGGGGGTTTTTATTTGTCTTCTGCTTTTCTATGGTTTTCTGGGGGGGTCCCATTTTAACGCTTTCTCCGCGGCCACGAGAGCTAGAAGCTCACTTTTCCTTTAAGGGTGAGGCTGAAATCATCACAGACCCCCGTGACTCCGGGAGCTGGAGCTTTAAGGGAAACAGGAGGTACCATGAGACCCATGACAAAATGGGTCTCATGGCAAGGCAGCAATTGCCAGCACAGGCAGGGCTGAGAGGCGGGACAATTACAGCAGGTAGGATTGCGGACCCCAGAGCACATCCGGGTACCCAAGCCCAGAGGTACCAAAAGGCCTGCTCTGTTCAGAGGGGAATGCCTCCAGGGCCGCTACCTTGGACAGGAGGCCAGAGATGACTCCCAATGAGATCTAGGGACCTAGCACCCAGAGCAATGGCCTTGACGCTACTCTGGACCCATGGGAGCCCAAGCCAGCAGCACCCAGCACTTCCGGATGTTAACACGTGGCTAATTAATTAAAAAACTTCCCGGGTACAGGGTGCCACGTGGGGGGCAGGTGGCTCCCCCCCCCTCGCCGCCCCTGCTCCCAAGCAGCTCCCCGGGAGCCGGTGCACGGGGGGAGCCGGGTCTAAG